AAATGTATACTGCTACTCATGCTTCTTTTGTAAAAATGTGAAAGGTCATCATAATAACTGCATCTGGAAATAAATACAGACATTTTTATGAACAGCTTTTCATTACCATTTGAAAATGTATTCTTACAGTCTCAATGTAAGATCCAATAGCCTCAAGGAATAGTTGAGCAGTGGTGACTAGGAGGGACTGAGTGTTCCTAGAAGACAAATTATAGCTGCCACCTCCACATTGCCTAAATAGAGTTTAACCATATTAAGATGACAGAAATATTTGCCCAAGAAGAATGCCATACAGTTCAAGCTGCTGTTTTATTTTAAAAGGAGAAAAATTACTCTTTGTAAACATAGGGGTATTAAGAGGTGAATTGAAGTGTTATGTGCTGTTCACTTTAAAAAAACAGCTTCATCTGTTCAATCTTTAGAAGGAAGCATTACCCAACAAGCTAACTTCTAAAGAGCTGCTTTCAAACCACTCTGATCTGCAAGCTCCAATAGTATTGACAATAAAATAGAAATCCTGTGGAATGGTGAATGTTAGAATTGTTCTTAGTGTGGAAAACACCATTTTTTTTTAAGTTTTAAAGCACTACATCATCTAAGAATATAATTATACACTGAATTAATTCATAATAAGGGTGAAACATCTGATAATCCTCTAATTTAGTTACAAATAGACTAGATAAGATGGTTTATTTAACATGAACCTCTTGTTTTAAATGTAAATTTGTCTAGTATGATAAGTTCTCATTGTAAAAATTAAAATAGGTTTTATTTAAAAATATTAATTCCTATTGTTAATAATTTAAACAATTCAGTAAAATATAAAGAAGAAAATAACTATTAAGAATACCACCCCAGGAGAAACACACTGCTAACATTTTATTGAAGATCATTCTGATATTTTCCATACTCCAAAGTATGTTATACACACATAGAGATCAATGTAAATTTACCCAGTAGATCCTGGAGCTTTGTAATCTATTTTCACTCAACAAGGTGCTAAGGACCTCTTTCCAAGTATTAGGGAATTTAGTTATGTTCACGTAGAAGACATGCCTAGACCATGAACCTACAGGGCTAACTATCGACAGATATAAATATACAATGGATCTGCTCAGTCTTATTCTGCTCAAGTTGAATAAAAATTTCTTCCAGCACTATTGGTATAAAGTTGACATATAACATTGTGAAGTTTAAGGTGTATGATGTGATAATTTGATACACATATGTACATACATGTGAAATGATCACCACAGTAAGATTAATTAACACATTCATCACCTTAAAAAATCTTAAATTGAATGTATCCAGATGTGTCTTATTGTATTGATAGTCATCATCTGTGTTTCTCCCATCTAGAATGGCTTCTCCAGGTTCTTCATCCTCTCAGACTCCATAGAATAGCAAAATGCTCAGGGGGATATGAAGGAGAGACTTGAGATCCTGCTTAGCATATTCTTCTTGTCTACTGCACTTGCATATTTATATCCTCTAAGTTTATAAGCAATTTGTTTGATTATGTCAATACCATATAAAGACATGATTTCTTCATTCTGTGGCCATAATTATTTAAACCTTCATCCCTTCTCCCACACTGTCAGTTCCAACTATCATGAGTTCCAGCCTGGAATTATAACAAAGCTTGTGCACTACCTACAGACTTGCCTCTTTGGTCTATCCACTCATAGCCACTGCAATGATCTTTCCAAAATGCAAATTTGATCATATCTCCTTAAAAATTTTTATCTAGGCAATCAATACCATACATAATCAAGTCTTTATCCACCTCTGCAACCTTGTTGCAGCTACATCTTCCAAATCACACCTTCTCTTTATTTTTATTTTATTTCTTTATTTTGGTATCATTAATCTACAATTACATGAGGAACATTATGTTTACTAGACTCCCCCATCACCAAGTCCCTCCCACATACCCCATTACAGTCACTGTCCATCAGTGTAGTAAGATGATATAGAGTCACTACTTTCCTTCTCTGTGTTGTACAGCCCTCCTCGTGCCCCACCCTACATTATGTCTGCTAATAGTAATGCCCCCTTTTTTTTTTACCCTTATCCCTCCCTTCCCACCCATCCTCCCCAGTCCCTTTCCCTTTGGTAATTGTTAGTCCATTCTTGGGTTCTGTTTTATTCCTTCAGTTTTTTTCTTTGTTCTTATACTCCACAGATGAGTGAAATCATTTGATACTTGTCTTTTTCCACCTGGCTTATTTCACTGAGCATAATACCCTCTAGCTCCATCCATGTTGTTGCAAATGGTAGGATTTGTTTTCTTTTTATGGCTGAATAACATTCCATTGTGTATATGTACCACATCTTTATCCATGCACCTACTGATGGATGCATAGGTTGCTTCCATTTCTTGGCTATTGTAAATAGTGCTGCAATAAACACAGGGGTGCATATGTCGTTTTCAAACTGAGCTGCTGCATTCTTAGGGTAAATTCCTAGGAGTGAAATTCCTGGGTCAAATGGTATGTATATTTTTAGTTTTTTGAGGAACCTCCATACTGCTTTCCACAATGGTTGAACTAACTTATATTCCCACCAGCAGTATAGGAGGGTTCCCCTTTGTCCACAACCTCGCCAACATTTGTTGTTGTTTGTCGTTTGGATGGTGGCAATCCTTACTGGTGTGAGGTGATATTTCATTGTGGTTTTAATTTGTATTTCTCTGATGATTAGCGATGTGGAGCATCTTTTCATGTGTCTGTTGGCCATCTGAATTTCTTCTTTGGAGAAGTGTCTGTAAATCTTGTGCCCATTTTTTAATTGGATTATTTGCTTTTTGTTTGTTGAGGAGTGTGAGCTCTTTATATGTTTTGGATATCAACCCTTTACTGGATCTGTCATTTATGAATATATTCTCCCATATCATAGGATGCCTTTTTGTTCTATTGATGGTGTCCTTTGCTTTACAGAAGGTTTTCAGCTTGATATAGTCCCACTTGTTCATTTTTGCTTTTGTTTCCCTTGCCCAGGGAGATATGTTCATGAAGAAGTCGCTCATGTTTATGTCCAAGAGATTTTTGCCTATGTTTTTTTCTAAGAGTTTTATGGTTTCATGACTTACATTCAGGTCTTTGATCCATTTTGAATTTATGAAAACCCCTTTTGTGTATAGGATTAGACAATGATCCAGTTTCATTCTCTTACATGTAGCTGTCCAGTTTTGCCAACACCAGCTGTTGAAGAGGCTGTCATTTCCCCATTGTATGTCCATGACTCCTTTATCAAATATTAATTGACCATATATGTCTGGGTTAATATCTGGACTCTATTTCGTTCCACTGGTCTGTGGGTCTGTTCTTGTGCCAGTACCAAATTGTCTTGATTACTGTGGCTTTGTAGTAGAGCTTGAACTTGGGAAACAAGAACTCCCCTGCTTTAGATTCTTCCTTCTCAGGATTGCTTTGGCTATTTGGGGTCTTTTGTGGTTCCATATGAATTTTAAAACTATTTGTTCCAGTTCATTGAAGAATGCTATTGGCATTTTGATAGGGAATGCATGGGATCTGTAGACTGCTTTAGGCAGGATAGCCATTTTGACAATATTAATTCTTCCTAGCCAAGAGCATGGGATGAGTTTCCATTTGTTGGTGTCCTCTTTAATCTCTCTTAAGAGTGTCTTGTAGTTTTCAGGGCATAGGTCTTTCATTTCCTTGGTTAGGTTTATTCCTAGGTATTTTATTCTTTTTGCTTCTCTTTATTTTATAAGCTATTAAATATGCTCTCTCATACCTCCCACATTTTCATGTTGTTCCTTCAACTAGTGAGATTATCATTTTTCAAGACTCAGCTCAGGCAATTCTTTCTTTATGGACTTGCCTTGTTTGTGAGTTGGAAACCTCCCTCCCTGCTTGTGCCCTTGTCTCTTGCAGAACTTCCATATTTACAACATAATTGATTGCCTGTCTTCTCTCTTACTGGCCTGCTAATTCAAGGTCAGGAATGTGGATCTTTTCACCCTTGTATCCCCCAAGAATGGACAAACACAATTGTTTCATATTAAGCTCTAGTTAGAAAATTTTTGTTCTTGAATAATAGGAGAAATAAATTATTAGAAAATGTTACTTGTTGTACAAAATCTTTCAAAATAATGTCTTTAGGGAAAAAAATAATTAAGATGCCCTCAGTGTAGTAGTTCATACATAATAAACATTCATTAAATATTTGTCAATTGAACAAGTGTTCCTTGTTTAGATTATAATCTTTCGAAGGGAGGGACCTGTGTTACATTTGTTTTGTATTCTCTCCAATGCCTAGCGGAGTACTATGTTCACAGAATAATCTCAAATCCAGTTTTACTGATTAACTGAAAACACAAATTTATTCATATATCAAAGTGAATCTCAACAGAATTTATAAGTCCTGCCTCTTTGAATCTTTATATATGTTGAAATATCTTGTGAGTTCTTTGAGTACCGGGATTCTCCCTTAATGGTTTTTATATTTCCAGGTTTTAACAGAGAGCACAGAACACAGTGGAAGTTTGATTAATATGTGTTATCAAGATTATATCAGTAAAACACACATCTGCTGTGCTCCTCACTGTATCCTCTGTGACTCAGTGTCTTATTCACAGTTGAAACCTAGTAAATATTTGTTAGATAATGATTTGGAAATCTGGCTACTGGAAAGTACAACTAAAATCTTACATAAAAAGTGTTCCTTGGTCCCTTGAATTCAGGAAGAAATTCAGATTAGAGTAAACATAATTCTGAAAGATACTTTATTCATGACTATGAAATAGATCAACCCCACAGAGTTGGGGAGAGAGAAGAGAAGGAAGAAAAGGTTGAAACAAACAAGTGAGACTCATAGGAGAAAATAGCTCCTCCAAGGGGAGCCACATGCTCTGATACCCATGGCAGCAGCGTGAGGAAGCAGCCTAAATTTAGCAGGATGGGCAAGCCCAGGAAGAGAGAGCTGCTTTAGCTTTCCTTGCCCTCAGTAAGTGAGGTGAGGGGCCGGGTGCCCCCGTGGAAGCCTCCTTAAGCCTGTGGAGCTCCAGTGCAGTTTGTGCCAGGTAAGGCCCTTCTCCCTTTGGCAGGTATAGCAAGAGATTTCTTAAGGGAATGTCCAGACAATTGAAAGATTTAATATTATCTGGTAAAGGGGTGTTTCCAGGAATCTAATGATTAAGAGAACAATGGAAGTATTCTTATATCCATCTGCACCCAAGTTTCATCTGAACTACCCTTTTATCTTGTGAATTTGGCCTCTCTCGGGTATGTAGGTGCTGTTTTCTCAAGTGCTGGAGTAAGCTGTCCTAAAAAATTTGTAGAACCACGTGGAAGAGGAACAAGGAAAGGATACCTCCAAGTGACACAAAAAAATGGATGAGATACTGCAAAGCCAAAAAGGGAAGATTAGAGATAACACAAATAGGACTTGGTGGCAACACTGTGCTTTACTTTATGGATGGAGTACAGAGTGGTTGAGCTGGTTGAGGGCAAACAACAGAACCCTGGAGAGGACCAGGATTTTTGTGTTTTTTCATAAAGAACTAGATCAGTGATTTATTTTACTATGCACATGAGTTTCCCAGTCAGGATACTTATGTATCACTCTCCATGATTTCTTTAAGTTCCTACCTTCTGTGCTGGAATTCATTTTCATATTACCTATTCGTTTTTTGAAGGCACAACTCAAAATGGGAAAACCCTCCAGTGCTATTAAGAGGGTGTCTCCAGAGTTGGTCTAAAGGAATCCGGAATTAGACAGCAGAAACTTTGAACTTTTTAAAAATTATAGTTGTATCGAGATATAATTCACATGCTATACAATTCACTTGTTTAAAGTGGACAATATAGTGATTCTTAGTGTATTACAGAGTTTTGCAACCATTGCACAATTCTTGAACACTTCATCACCCTCCCCACAAAAACCCATAGCCAATAGCAAGCATTCCTCTTGTCCTCCTGACCCATAGCACAAGGCAACCACAAATCTACATTCCTTTTTTATAGATTTGCCTGTTCTAGACATTTCATATAAATAGAATCAAACAATGTGTGGTCTTTTGTGAGCTGTTTTTTTTTCTTCAAGTTTTATGGGACTGCTTACGTATGTAGCAACAGAGAAGAGAAACCTCTTCTCTTGGGAGTATTACCTATTGATTCATTCTGCAAGAGAACTAACATTGCCTCCAGTCTCCATTTTGAGTGAGCATTTATAACTCACTACTATAAGGCTATTCAATTATAGTAGCACTTCAGTGCTTTATATAATTATATGATTAATGAATGTTCTTCAGTAATGACGTTTTTTATTTCATGACAATCTTCGATATGACCTGACAGAATGAAGTTCACCCACTTAGGGTATCATTAGAGAACTTGTATGGTACATATACTAAGGTATTAGTAAATAATAAATGAAGATGTAGTATGTCTGGAACAGTGCCTGGCAGGTACTAAATTCTTAGAAAAAAGCCACTTTGTCCTCCACCTGACTCTCAGTGTTAAAACATTTATTCATATTATAAGAGATACAGAACAGATTGGAAGAAAATCTTAGCCAAGCAGAGTGCTTTGAATATACTCAAAAAATATTTATTAAAAGAGGGAAGAGAGATACAGTCATGGATATGGGCACTTTACAGCTGTAATATTATTTCATACAGGCTATGGAAAACAATTTCATATGCTGGACTAGAAGGCACCAATCATAACTTCAAGTTTGAAATATCAGTTGTAATCACGGATAACTGACTGACTTTTTCTGGTCCTCAGTTTATATACAATTCCAGACTAAGAACGATATGTGGATCATAGCTAAAATGCTGTCCCCATTGTTCATAACGTGGAAATATCTTATGGCAAGGTATCTAAGACACTCTTGCCTTGTATTTATTTCATGCTAAAGGGCACACACAGAAGTATAAGATTGCTTCTTAGGGAAGTCCAGTTAGTTGACTGTTATAATATCTAGCAGCTCACCTTGATAAAATCACCAGGTTCCATCATCTGGTCTTCAGCTGTCCAAGCTCAAAAACTTATTTTGTTTTTCAAAAATTTTCATAGCAGCTTCAGTTCTTCAGCAAAGTACTTACATTAACCAAATTCCCAAGAGATTAACACAGCATCCGCAATTCCAATTGGTTAATTAATCTAAAAGATGGCTTTAGAGCAAACCAAATGTTAAAATCTCCTATCAACTTATTTTTTCCCTATAAGGAAATCTAGGTTTTCAGAAAACCATGTTGAAAGCAGAATGCTGCTGCATGAGGGTGGTTTGGAGCAAGGCAGATAGTTGGTCACGGCGTCTGACTGTGTTGGCCTGGGGCTCCCAGCACCACCATCAAGAGCAAGTAGAGCTTCCTTGTAATGAACACTGATGATTCGTCTTTGATTTCCCTTTCCTACTTGTCATTCTGATTACCTCTTTGGATATAGATATAAATGTAGATGTAGAGACAAATATAGATAAATATACATATTTATATTTATGCTTACACACATATATTTGTTAGATACCTACGATCAGTTAGGCTACAGCCAAATTTTGCTTTTTTTTCTCCTAGTGTCCTTGAAGCTTTTTGATTTTGCCTTAGCGGGGGACTTTTACTATATCTTTCTCTTTACAAATAAAATACACCCCTTATTAGAGGTATTGTTAAAGTACTGCTAAGAAAAACTTGAAGGAAAAAAACAGCAGCAGATTCACACAGACTCCAAGAAGGAACTCATGGTTACCAAAGGGGAGGGGTGGGGGACAGTGGGTGGGGAGGGAGGAGGGAGAAGTAGATTGAGGGGTATTATGATTAGTACACATGGTGTCGGGGGGGGGGTGATGGGGAAGACAGGGTAGCACAGAGAAGACAAGTAGTGACTCTGTGACATCTTACTACACTGATGGACAGGGACTTCAATGGGGTATGAGGGGGGGACTCAATAATATGGGTCAATGTAGTAACCACATTGTTATTCATGTGAAACCTCCATAAGAGTGTATATCAATGATACCTTAATAAAAAAAAAGTACTGCTAAGAAAAAAAATGTGAGAGAAAAATCTCCCTTGATTTCACAACCTAGATAAAACTATTTAACATTTTCAAATATTATACTCCAGAATTTGGGGGGGAAAAAAACAGCACCATATCATAAAACTTGTTCTGAAAACTGTTTTTTTAAACTTTATACATCATAAATATCTCCATGTTTTGAAAATGTATATTGTTTCCAAATCTTTGCTATTTCAAACAGTTCTTTATGAACGTCCTTGTGAATACACTGGAATGATAGCTGTTCTTTTCATAAGGTGCCTAAATGTATATACATTGAATGTTAATTTTCTATTTTAATTTTTAGAATGTTAGAGGTGCTCTGCTGATGCCTTCATGTGTTTCCTAAATATGAAACTTTTCATATTTATACATCACCTTGAAAGGATTTTTTTTGTTTCATAGTGATTAGACTTTAAGAGCTGTATGTATTTATTTATTTTTAAAGTTACTATAATCTTTTGAAGTTGGCAAACCATTTTCCTCACTTTTCTGTATCTGAAAAGATGAGTTAACTGAAGCATATAGAATGATTTGTTCAAGGTCATTTAGCTAGTGAGAGAGAGCTGCAGCTAGAACCTCCTTTTTTCTTACATCAGTGATTTCCAGCTTGTGAGCAAAACCCCTTCATGGAGGGCCATGAAGCAATTGTAAAGGGTCTGCAAACCCATGTGTAGATCAAGCATTATCTGAAAACAGAATAAGCATACTATTTATTAGTGTTATAATGTAAATAAAACAAATTGGTTGGCAATAAGTTATAAATGAATGGTTGCTTTTGTCATTTTGTATTGTCTAAATCAATTAATTAATTTTATATTTGTCATCACTTGGGAGATCCATAACATTTTTTAATATTGGAAAGGCATTCTTGTACTTGAAAAAATTAGGAACCAGTGCTTTCAGCTTTGCTGGGGTTCACTGTATTTGCTCACAAGCACTATAAAATGGCTTCAAACTCTTGACAAACCATGCTACGAAAACATAGCCAGCAGAATTTCATCACAAATAAACTTTCCCTTTGATAATGTAGATTATGCTACCCTGAAATAACCTTACTGGGTCTTGTTCTTTAGAACTTCCAAAAGAGCGGGGGAAATGGTGGTTGTAACTGTGTAAAGATGTAAAGCGTGAAAGGCAGTACATGCGAATAATTCTTCTTGCCATAGTTTGCAGAGGTATCCTTGGCACTGGCAAGGTAAGAGAGCCAATCATAAATCACATGGCAAACTGGAGGCCCCTGCTTCCTATCTGAGTTTCTAGCCCCTTCACAACTTCCAACTACCTGGAACTGGCCTCTTGTGGACTCTCAAAACAGAACCCTTACAGAGTCTTATTTCAGAGACTAACTGAAAATGAACAATTAAAGGAATTTTCCCCTAAGCTTTCTTCAAAAGTACAAAACATTTTTGAATGTTCATAATAGGTTACCTGGAACTGTAAGTAGTCAAATTCATAGGGACAGAATAAAAAGTAGAATAGTAGTTTCCAGAGGCTGAGGGTAAAGGAGAAAGGGGAGTTATTGTTTAAAGGGTATAGAATTTCATTTTCCAAGATGAAAAGAAGTTCTGGAGTTCTGGTGGTGATGGTTGCACAACATGAATATATGTACTGCCATAGATCTGTATACTAAAAAATGGTTAACATGTTAAATTTTATGTTATGTATGTTTTACCACTATTAAAAATAAATTTTTAAAAATAGGTTTACCTGGAGATCAGATTTCAGAATAGATTTTTTTATTAGGACCTTTACTCACAATATCAAAATAGTACTGAATTATGCTAAGACACTTTTTTTATATGAATTTGATTCTGAGATGGGTAAAAGATGCTGAAATTTCTAATGATTACTAAATTATATCATCTATGTATGTGAACACATTTCACCAAAACTTGAAAATAAATAAAATGAATAGTGATCTATGTAAATAACAACTCAGATTTTTTTCCAGTATTGAGTTGCCATGTAACTCTAACTAGTTAATAATTGAAACAGATCTGCTGACTAGACTCTGATG